GAATGGTAACCCTAGAGTGTAGTCGCGCCGCCAGCGCTGCGAGAGAGCTCTCGCAGCGCTGTATGTACTCCACCTCTCTGAGGGGAGTAGCTTGCAGCGCTGCGAGCGAGCGTGCAGTGCTGCAGGCGCTGATTACACTGGCGCTTTACAGCGCTGCACTCACTGCGCTCGGGGGGAGGGGGTGTTTTCACACCTCTGAGCGCAGCAAGTTGCAGCGCTGCACAGCGCCAGTGTAGCCAAGGTCTCTGAGAGCAGTGCCAGTGGTAGCCAGTAACCAAACAACGTTCCTAAAGCAAATATTCTTTATTTAGAACCAAACCATTTACCATTCCCTGGATCCCAACTTCTTCAGACTCCTTCCACAGAGCCTCTTTCTGTGTCAGCCTGTCCCTCCAGACTGCCCCTTCCACTACAGAGAGCACCTTAGCTGTGTTTGATCTCAAAGGTCCCAGCCTGGCAAAACAGCTGTGTGATTTTAGGCCAGAGCCTGGAAGAAGGCCATTGTCCTGTAATTGCTCCCACTCCCACCAGTGTTTGCTGGGATGCTGCTCATTACAGCTATCGTGGTGCTTTCCTGTTTGTTCTTCCCATAGCCTCATATTAAGCTAGATCAATGTAATGATACAGGAAAGTCTTATAACTGAACCTACAATAACTTCACCTCACCTCACAGTGTCATAAAATTATTACATAATTGTAGGGTTGCCAGGTGTCTGGTTTTTCAACAGGAACACCTGGTCGAAAAGGGACCCTCCCCAGCCCAGTGAAAATGAGCGAATGAGTGAGGGTGGGAGAAAGCGAGCGACGGAGGGAGGGGGATGGAATGAGTGGGGCAGGGCCTCGGAGAAGGGACAGGGCAAGGGTGTTTGGTTTTGTTCGGTTAGAAAGTTGGCAACCAGTCTTAGAGTATTACCTAGCAGCTCCAAATCCATCACAAATGCCTTCCTTTCTCTAGTCCTATTTTGTGTGGCGATCATGCCCTAACTGGAGGTATTTACATTGTCCTTCTCTTGACTGAAGACCTACAGTCAGAAGCCAAATAGCTAATATTGGATAAATGCTTGTTAATACTACTCTGTCTGCTGTCCTACTGATGTCTTTTAGTGCTCTGCACTGAGAGTACCTCATCACATCAAAATAGCTGAAGCTGAACTTTGAAGGAATTTAGAACGTGGCTTGGCTCTCTAGTATTGGCTTTTGGGTTATCTTCCCCATTGCTCTGCAACAGACCAGTCAGCAGCTATTCTTAAAGAAGCAAGTTTTTTTCCCCCTAACAAGTTCTTACTTTTACTTCTTCTGTCTCTTACAGGCCAAGATTTAATACAATCAATTCTAAATTTGGCAAATTCACATGACTAAGAAGAACATGTCCTGAGGAGGCATAGTAAAGTTTCCAAGCTGTATTAAGTCAATGTTCAGCTGTAAACTTTTCAAAGAACAATCATAATGTTTTGTTCAGTGTTATGAACATTTCTGAGTTACGAACAACCTCCATTCCCATGTTCGTAACTCTGAGGTTCTAGCAGGGGTCGGCAACCTTTCAGAAGTGGTGTGCCGAGTCTTCATTTATTCACTCTAATTTAAGGTTTTGCGTGCCAGTAATACATTTTAATGTTTTTACAAGGTCTCTTTCTACAAGTCTTTAATATATAACTAAACCATTGTTGTATGTAAAGTAAATAAGGTTTTTAAAATGTTTAAGAAGCTTCATTTAAAATTAAATTAAAATGCAGAGCCCCCCGGACCAGTGGCCAGGACCCGGGCATTGTGAGTGACACTGAAAATCAGCTCGCATGCCGCCTTCGGCACACATGCCATAGGTTGCCTACTCCTGTTCTACTGTATATGAATCTCTTCCATTATCATAGAATTGCAGAATTACATCACCAGGGATAATAATAAAAAAAAAGACCTATTTGATCATCTAATCTGTTTCCCTGACAAAGCAGGAATTTTCTCTTCAGCACATTTTCTAGTGCTATGTCCAGACTCATTGAAAATATCCTATGGAATGGGACTTTTACTGGCTCTCTTGGGAGACTATTCCACAACCTAATACCTTTCTGTGACAGCAGGCGTTTCCTTCTATACAGTCTAAATTTTCCCTTTCTTTACCTTTGGCTGTGCTTCCTGGAATCATTCTACTTACTAGGACAGGGCAAAATATTGTTCTTTCTTAGCTAAACTATACGTAGACCTTTTAATCTTGCCTCATTTGACTTTCTCTACATACGCTTGATCATTCTGTTCCTCTTAAATTAACTCCCTCCAATTTGTCAGATATCTTTCTGGTATTGAGATGCCCGTGGACGAACACATTATTCCTGCAGTGGTGGTCACACCAGAATGAAACAGGACCAAATCTAAGTCCAACTGAAATCCGTGGAAAGACGGATCATTGGCTCAGGAACTACTGCCTCATCTCTCTGACTGCATGCCCCCCAAAGAAGCATTGCATTTTTGGCTGACATTTCCAACTCATATCTAATTTGCTGTCCAATGCTGCCCCTGGATCTTTTTCAGTGTCACCACTTTCCAGGTTTCTCCTTCTTTTTGAATATTTTGTACAGTATTTCGGATTATTATTGGTTGTATGCGTCAAGCTGAGTCTCATTTTTCTAAAGCCTGCCCTTGTTTGTGATCTCTCTAGGCCAAGCCCTCTACCCCAATGTAACCTCTTCACACTGCTCTGGTGGGACAAAAGGGCTGTCAGTTGCCATAGGAGAGCAGCTGGGGACTCCTCTAGCATGGGAATCACTGATTGGCCTATACTAGGGATCGGCAACCTTTGGCACGCAGCCTGCCAGGGTAAGCACCCTCGTGGGCCGGGCTGGTTTGTTTACCTGCCGTGTCTGCAGGTTCAGCTGATCACGGCTCCCACTGGCCAGGGTTTGTCGTCCCAGGCCAATGGGGACTGAGGGAAGCAGTGCAGGCTCAGGGATGTGCTGGCCGCCACTTTCCGCAGCCCCATTGTCCTGGGACTGCGAACCGCGGCCAGTGGGAGCTGCGATCAGCCGAACCTGCAGATGCAGCAGGTAAACAAACCGGCCCGGCCCGCCACGGGGCTTACCCTGGCAAGCCGCGTGCCAAAGGTTGCCGATCCCTGGCCTATACAGTGCTGCCAGCTTGCATGATTTTTTATCCTGAGTCTTGTGATATTTTGTTTTTCTTCAGGTCCCAGCTGCTGGAGTCAGGTGGTTACATGAGAATCTCAGCTTTCATTAAAAAAAGGAAAGTAAGTTTCCAGCTTGAAAACATGATGTAAGTGCACCCTAAGGGCTCACAAACCAGAAGAACTCCATTTGGACTATTTTTGTAAAATCTCATGATTTTTTCAAGGCCCTACTCATGCTTTTTGAATGTTGGGGGTTGGCAATATCGCATACAGTTGGCAGAGCTGACTCTACACCACCACCTTCTATTTCCCCTGAGATAGGGTGGATGTGTCAGAGTATTGCCTGGAATACTGCTTTGCTCCAGACATAACCAGCCAGAGTACCCGTCTCTTAGGGTATGTCTACACTGCCAAAAAGACCCCGAGCCCTACTGCAGCAAGTCTCAGAGCCTGGGTCAACAAAACCAGCAGTGTAGACATTTCTGCTTGGGCAGAAGCTCAGACTCTGAGGCCCAGCCCCCTCGCCGAGTTTCAGAGTCTGAGCTCCAGCCCGAGCAGGAATGTCTACACTGCTATGTTTAACCTCGGAGCATGAGCCCCACGAGCCTGAGTCAGTTGACCCACTCTCTGAGAATCGCTGTCATGAGGTTTTTTTTCAGTGTAGATGTACCCTTAGGGGCCATATCTCCCAGCAGCTGGAGGCTGATTTGGTTCCCAGCATCCACTGAGATCAGGAAACCACAAAGGTGACGCACAGCTCCCCAAACCCTGCATGCAGATTGGCCAGACCTGAGGATCACAGCCTCTATGTTCCTTTGTATTATTTGCAACTTCCCTCAGTTTAGTAGCATCTGGGAAGTTCATCAACGTACGTTATGTACTCCCTGCACCAGAACATTCCTATACATATTATAACTTAAGACTGCATCTCGCAGTGTTCTGATTGACTTCGAGGGGAATTGCACCCATGTAACTGACAGCAGGTCTGAGATCAGTAACTCCACTTGCAACAGGAAGGAATTCTTTGGCTCTTCCCATCAAGAAATCTTAGTCCTTTAGCTTTGTGGTTGTGGAGGTGTTATTTGGGAGCATGCAGTCGTATAATGAATATGCCTGGGTTAGCACTATGCTTTTTTTCAGCAGGTGTCCATTTGATGGCAAGTACTTCAGTGGCATGACCTCAGGCATCAGCAGTGACAGTACACATTTATAACTGCATTATTTAACTCTGCCAAGTATTTTCAGGACACAGGTAGCATAAGGACATCATATGAACCATAGCTGTATTTATGCAATCCAACTTTGACTGAGGAAGGAGAAGAACATACTCTGTTGGCAAGAATGCAGCCCCAGGAGTAGTTGTGGACAACTTTCCCCTTTTCTGAGTTTCCATTATCATTGACATTTTTCAGACTCAGACTTTGTTAGAGACGAATTTCCTAAGGGTATGAGCTGGGAAGATGACATTTCATTGACATACAGGATGTATAAAACGCCAAAGAAAGAGTGAGGTAAATTACAAGGTTGTTTTGATAACTTATTGAGGTAGCAGAAGTAGCTTGCTGTGCTGTAATGAAAAGACAGGAAGTTGTGGTTAAGGCATAGGGTTGGGAATCTGTCCTATACCCAGCCCTACCACAAACTTCCTGTGTTACTTTGACAATGTTTTTCTAATGTACCCACTAATTTTGGATGCCCAACGAGGGCCCGATTTTCAGAGATGCTGAAAACAACAGAATCGGGGCTGCTCTCAAAATCAGTGGCCAAGGTGTGGCAAGGAAGGCACTCAAAATTAATGGGAGCTTTTGAAAATAACAGTCTAAGCATGTGTGTCTGCCTCAGTTTCTCTTTCTTTAAAAGGCAGATATTAATACTGCCTCTTAGTGATCTTAAGAAAGATGACTTCATTAATGTGTGTGGGATGCTAAGTTACTAAAGTGAGGAGTCCCATAGAAATGCCTATAAATGACCAATCTTAATTAAATGTAATGGATGTCCAAGACTTTTTAAATAAAAATGTTTCTTTTACATTGTTTCAGGGAAATGTGTGAATTTTCTTTTCAGTACAGCTTGGTTTGAAATGTGTGTGAAATTGGTTTCCAAGGTGTTGGGACTTAAATTTGTAAGAATACTACTATTACTGCTAATAATAATGATAATGAATAACAAAAATGATGATTCTTCTAACTCAGGTGGGGAGATTTTCTAACTGATCCTCTCTCCCCTCCCTGACCTCACTCAATTCCTGCTGTCTATACACTTCCTCATGCTTCCTCAAATCCACTGATCCTACAACTCCTTCCAGTCACTCTTCAGTGCCAAATACACCAGTGATGGGTTTTTTAAAAGCGCTCAGCATTGACCTAACTGTGGGGGAGTTTGATCATTGACTTCAATGGGAGCAGAGTTGTGCCATTGCTGAGCCCTTTTGAAAATCCCTCCCCCTGCTTCTAAACCTGCCAAGGCCCACATGTGGGAGGCAGCATGTCACACAGACCCCAAATGAGGGACACAAAGTAAAGTATTTCAGGCAGGAAACTTAAAATGCTGTGGTATTAATATTGAATTTCTTAACTAGCTGTCTAGAATCTCAGTTGAATTATTCTGTATTTCTGATGTAAATAATGGTTATCAATAAAAATGAGGGGATGCCAAATTGTGTGGGACACTGGGGCTAAAACAAGTCCAGTCCCTTGACTGGAGGAACGGTTGAGTGGTCTGCCCCCACTCCCCCAGTACTCTCTAGAATGACCAGATGTCCCAATTTGATAGGGACAGTCCCAATATTTGGGGCTTTTTCTTATATAGGCTCCTATTACTCCCCACCCCCGTCCTGATTTTTCACACTTGCTGTCTGGTCACCCAGGCCAGAAGTGGCCACCATAACATTCTCACTATAACAGGCTACGGTTATGTGCACTGTCCCTCTGCCATAGTGATCTTGAAGGGGAGAGGTCAGAAGATTTGCCTTCCTCCTCCCTTGAGGAGGATTTCTCTGTCACTCCTTTCAGGTGGAGACCATTAGGAACAGAGGCATAATGATTAGTGCATTCACTCCAAACAAAAGTACTCTTACCATTTCTCCCAAATCTGTCAGTTCATTACTCTCTCCTCATAGCTCCACCCCAAAATTTGGCTGTTTTCTTTTCCTTCCTCACTCAAAACCATTTGTTCTTTCTTCCCCTCAACCCTATGCTACTTCACCATGGATTTTTATTTCTTTCCCTCTCCCCAGAAGGAACATGAAGGGGCTATGAGGTGGGCTCTTTCCTTGCCTCTCCTTCATGGACATATGGGGAGGAGTCTAGTCTGTTACTAGCTTTTATAGAAGGGATTGATTCTTCAGTGCCTTCTATCTTGTGTCATTACATACACGTGTGCAAAGTGAGTGGAAAACACGACCCCATCCTGATTTAGTAGTGTTTCAAACTCACTTTGCACAGCTGTAGTGGTGACACACGGCAGGGGTGAATCAAATTCTCAGGGCCCTATTCTCTGTTGTCCTAACTCTTCCTTTCCAAATACTGATGCCACAAAGGATGTATAAAAGCGATGGATCTCCCCCCAGTGGAATACCCTGGCATAGGGGACTTCACAGCTGGCCTACACTTCTCCCCCTTGCAGCATCCAGCATAGAGGGCCTGGCAGGGATTTGCTGTGGGAGTCGGCTGGACCAAACTGACACTGCAGTCTGGCTACATGAGGATATGGGCATCCTGAGCATAAGTTAGTGCACCCTTGAGACTGCTCTAACGTACGTTGGGAGCTGACCAAGCTTAGAATACAGGGAGAGTTAAAGAGGTCTTAAAGTAATCTTTGTAGCTCACCCTCCCCTGTTCCTGCGCTAAGTGTATCTCAGCTGGAATGGAGAATTGGGTCCTCTATCTTTATGAGAGTGAGCAAGAGCCCCAATTATGGTGCTTGATCAGTCAACACCAGACTGGCCAATGTAAGGCAGCATAGGTAGCGCTGGTTTAGTTTGATAGTTGTTAGTGTTGCTAGTGTGACACCATGGATAAGGCTCGGAGTTGCAGGAAAGTGGATGCTAATAGGCAATTGGCCCCCAGGCCATAGAATGAATAAGAAGCCCTAGCCTGACTTCTCCTTCCTAATGATAGGTATTGATTTGCCTTTCTCAAAAGCCACATACAGGAAGCCAGGATTCTCCTGGACATTTCAGCTCCTCTGGCTTTTTTTAAGTGAATCTTTGTAAGCATCATTAATACTAATTATTCCTGAGCAATGGAAGTGAGCAACCTCATAAAACTGTTGGATCTGTACCAGTGTTTACAATTTAGCATGACTGCCTTAAGGCTCAAGATGACTTTTTTCTCCACAACATTGATTGAACTCTGATAAAACACATTTTCCCCTCTATGTACTCTTATCCTGTGAGATGGCTGCTGTATGAATAAATTACACAGTGGGAACTAAATGAAAAGATTTCATACTGATCGTCATGTGCATATTTTAGTTCTCCCTGGTGTTTGCTTTGCCATAATCTCTGCTCTAATATGGCTGTGTACAGTCATAACTCTCCACTGTCTCTCAGCATGAAGGATGGCCCTTCTCTTTCACACCCAAGCATCTTCCCACAAAGCTTGATGTTGTCTCTTATTTTTGTAAATTTTTCCAGAAATGTGGGATTATGAAATGGAGGTTAGAGAAGTTCTGCAAAATGAACCCCACATCAAGTTAAATTTCTTCCCCTAATACATTTCTTGTGTCTCTCACTTTTAGCCATAAAGTGTCCCATATTTGGCTGTTGGAAGAGACTGAGGCATAACCATGGCAACCTAGGGCTTGAAGGGGCAGGCTGCTGCAGTTCACTACTGACACTTATAATTTATGCAATTAAAACTTGAGTTTAATCTCGAAGACAGTGGGGTCTAGGCTTCTAGAAAATCACAGGGATAATATTGCAATGCACAAAGCCCGAGTTAGGTCCCTATACAATGAATGAGGAGAATTAGAAGTCTTCCAATATGATCCACAAAATCCAGCATTTTAGGCAGGGAGTCGCAGTGGAGATTAAAGTTAAGATAGGTGTGGCCAACCCCAAAACAAATACTTTATCTCAATGTTTAATAAGGGTAATGAGGCATTTGGGGGCAGTGGCCAGGTAGCTAATGGGAAGAAGGATGTAGAAGTAGAAATTACCAAATGCAAGGTGGAAGCCAGACTCAGACATCTTAATGGGACCAAACTGGGGGGTCTAGGAAATCTCCAGCCAAGAAGACTAAAGGAATTACCACATAAAATTGCAAGCCCAATAGCAAGGATTTTTAATGAATCCCTAAACTCAAGGGCTGTACACTATGACTGGAGAATTGCTGATATAGCACCTATATTTAAGAAAGGGGAAAAAAGGTGATCTGGGAAACTACAGGCATGTTAGTTTGACCTCAATTGTATGCAAGGTTTTAGAACAAATTTTGAAAGAGAGAGTAATTAAAGACATAGAGGTGAACGGTAATTGGGGTAAAAGACACCATTGTTCTGTAAAAGGTAGATCAAGCCAGACTAATCTGATCTCTTTTTTTGAGAAGATAACAGATTTTTTAGACAAAGGAAATGCAGTAGATCTAATCTACCTGGATTTCAGTAAAGCATTCGATACAGTTCCACATGGGAAATTATTAGTTAAATTGGAGAAGAAGGGAATTAATATAAGAATTGAAAGGTGGGCAAGGAACTGGCTCAAGGGAAGACGACAACACTTCATACTGAAAGGTGAATTGTCATATTGGAGGGAGGTTACTAGTGGCATTTCTCAAGAATTGATCTTGGGACCAATCTTATTTAACATTTTCATTAATGACTTTGGCACAAAAAGTGGGAGTGTGCTAATACAATTTGTGAAGAATACAAAGTTGGTAGCTATTGCCAATATAGAGGCGGACCTGAATATCATACAAGAAGATTTGGACAACCTTGAAAACTGGAGTAATAGAAATGGGCTGAAATTTAATAGTGCAAAGTGCAAACTCATGCACTTAGGAACTAAGAACAAAAGTTTTTGCTATAAGATGAGGACTTACCAGAGGGAAGCGACAGAGAAGGAGAAAAACCTGGGTGTATTGGACAATCACAGGATGACTATGAGCTGCCAATGTGATATGACTGTGAAAAAAGCTAATGCAAGCCTAGGATGCATCAGGCGAGATATTTCAAGTAGAGATAGGAAGTTGTAAAAGGCACTGGTGAGACCTCTTCTGGAATAGTGTGTGCAGTTCTGGTCTCCCGTGTTTAATTAAGATGAATTCAAACTGGAACAGGTGCAGAGAAGGGCTCCTAGGATGATCACAAGAAAGGAGAACCTGCCTTATGAGAGGAGACTTGAGGAGCCTGGCTTGTTTAGGATAACAAACGAAGGCTCAGAGGAGATATGATTGTTCTCTATAATACCTCAGAGGGATAAACACCAGTTAGGGAGGGGAGTTATTTATGTTAAGGGCCAGTGTTGGAACAAAAACAAACGAATATAAAATGGCCATCAATAAGTTTAGGCTTGAAATTATATTAAGGTTTCTAACCATCAGAGGAGTGAAGTTCTGGAATAGCCGCCCAAGTGGCGCAGTGAGGGCAAAAAGCCTAACTTGTTTTAAGGCTGAACTTGGTAAGTTGATGGATGATGAGGTTGCCTTCAATGGTGTCTAGCCCATCCACACCTGCTGTTAGTAAATATATCCAGCACCAGAGATGGGACACTAGATGGAGAGGCCGCTGAGTTACTACAGAGAATTCTTTCCCACATGTCTGGCTGGTGGGTCTTGCCTACATGCTCAGGGACTAACTGATCATCCATATTTGGATTGGAAAGGAATTTCCCCCCGGGTCAGAGTGGCAGAGACTCTGGGGTCTTTCTGCCTTCCTGTGCAGGCACAGGTCACTTGCTGGATGCAGATCACTTGCTGGTTTGAACTAGAATAAATGATGGATTCTCTGTAACTTGAAGTCTTTAAATCAAGATTTGGGGACTTCAGTAACTCAGCCAGAGGTTATGGGCGTACTGCAGGAGTGGGTGGATAAG